TGGCGCGGGAAGTTTTGGCTTTTCGCTGAACTTTATGATGTTTTTTTCAACTTTTTCGGGACTTGTATTTTCCACCGTTTTGCGTATTTGGTCATCTTCTTAACTTGCACGCGTCGTTTATGAGTATTTCGTTGTTTCGTTAACTTGTACGCTTCCTCGCGCGGATCGCTTGACTGACGTTCGTGTGTTGACTGACGTGCACGCGTTGACTGACGTGCGCATGTTGACTGATGAGCGCGCGACCACATGAGGGTGGTTTGAGCTCACGGGACGCTTGGTTTGCCATTCTGGTGGCTGACGAGCATGTGGGCCACTTGGCGTTTGTCGTTGTGGTTTGTTGCCGCGTCATTAACGGTTTGCCGATTCGCTTCATGCGCTTGTCGGCGTCGGATAATCCTCTTTGACTCGGATAATCCTCTTCAACTTCGATAATGACGTTCATCGCCTTCTCTTTATCTCGAGCTATATTCGGGGACCTATAGGTAATTTTTGACGCCTACAATAGTCTAATAAAAATTTATAAAATATTCATAGTACTAAATTATTAAAATGCATAATTAAAAATAAATTAGATAAATATTTTATAGTATAAATTTAGTATAACTATTTTTATTAATATTACTTGAACTAAGGATTATAATATTAAATAAGGTAAATTACAATAAAACCTCATGAACTTTTAGTATTTTGCAGTAAATAGGCCCTATAAACTTTTGAACTCACAATAAACCCCTAATAACTTTTGTAGAAAGCCTCCAATATCTTTTAGATAAATTACACCAAACCTCCAATGACTTTCAAATTGCTTTTTCATGTCATTTTTTTATTCTAATTTCTAGGAGTTATCTACAAAATTTAGAAAGTTATTAAGGGTTTTCTTTGAAATAGAAAAGTCATTAGGGGTTTAGTGTGATTTTGAAAGTTCATAGGGCCTAAAAGTTCATAAGGGTTTAGTGTAATTTAACCTATTAAATAATTATAACGAGAAGTAACTACTACAATTGCAGGTATTAAGTGTAACTATGTAGGGAACATCAGGAAAAAGCTAGCAAGATTAATACAGCTTAGTTAATTTAGAATTAAGTTAACAACTTTCAAGTTGGAGGAGCATATTCAAGGAAACTTATAAAATTGGCATCACTTAAGAATAACATTAGATTTGGGGGACTTATTTGAAAAAAAATGTTAGCACTTGGCGTATCATTATAAGAAAAGTATTTAATTAAGATAACTGCACAATAGTAATTAATTCATACATTTCTTCTCAAGTAATCTTATTATATAATTTTATTTATTAACACATAGTTTAACCATTCAATAAAAAAATTTAAAACTTAAAACATGTAATGCTTATGTGGCATTATACTAGTATATATAAAAAGCTTCTGACAATTTTGAACTGTAAATTGTGCTAACAGATCTAAAAGACTAAACCCTATCTTAAAAACTTCGAACAATAAGTAGATCTAAAACCCATAAAAAATTCTTCACGTTCAACTCTTAATTAAACCTGTAATTTTATAAATTTCCATAAATAGATGCAGTACTATCACATGGACTGATTCAAAGAATCATTCTTCCAGAAAATCGTAAGAAGGCTATGGGTGCTCTTTTGGTGCTTAAAAATTGTCATGTACTTAACTCCATGTGTTCCATTAAGTATTCATCAATCTTTTTACCTTAGCAATTTTGTCAAACGTGTAAATTTCCCAAGTTAGTCTCTAGATGCAGAAAAGGGGGAAATTCATTAAGAATCATACTTCATACCAAAGTTGAACATGTCTTGGTTCAAAATTTGACCCAACAACAATTAATAAAGATATATGTACATAGATGAAATTGCAAACGAAAAGAAAAAAATAAAGGAAGGAAAAAAAACACAGTCAGAAATCATAAACAGACACAGACAAGCACAGTTGCCGATTTTGTTGCCGCAACGATGTAGGAGACCTTGAGCATCTACCAGGCTCCTCTGCGTCCATATATGCCTCGCACCGAACTAGAGAGATGATATGTTCCTTGCAAGAGGCATCACAAGGCAAAGTGATTGGGCCATTGCTTGGCAAGCCATACTCTTCTTCAGATAATCTGAAGAGCTCTCTTAAGAGACTATGGCTCAGACAACTGAGAGGGATCATGAATCTCTTCCCATCAAGGAACACACAAATAGGATGGCCTCTATTCGCAATTGATGGGTTGCAATTGTCTGATGGAGCAAGCATCATCACTGGTTCTTGTTGACATGTGTAGAATTGGCTACACAACAACGAAGTTCAGATTTTTTGAAGCAGTGAACATTTTAGATGTTGTACGGTCGACCGCAAGTGACGCAGCGGTCGACCGACAAAACCTTTAGTGTTTTTTGGTTTCGGTCGTTGGATCCGATCGACCGCGATGGGTTCGGCGGTCGACCGCGAGTCGGGTCTGGGCCTACTTCGGTTTCCTGCACTGTTTGGGTTTCCTGTTTTATATAAATAGGAACATAATTTGTTTATGGTTTATTGGATCATATTGATCACTATTGGGGTAGCTAGAAAGAGAGTTTTGAGTACAGAAAAGAGAGTTCTTTTCTGAGCAGTTCTTTTCTGAGCAAATTGTTTGAGGGTTTTTTGAGAGATTTGAGGGTTTTGTTTGAGAGGTTAGTTTGAGTGATCTTGTAATCTCTATTTTGTACTCTCTTTCTCTATAGTAAAAATCCCTCCCCTTCTTGCCCCGTGGATATAGGCAATTTGCCGAACCACGTTAAACTTTGTGTTTGAGTTTGTGTTATTATTGTTTGATTTGAGTTGCCTTATCTCTCGGTGTTTGGTTTGGTTCCTCGACGCACAACAAGTGGCTTCCGCTCACAACAAGTGGTATTAGAGCACAACAAGTGGTATCAGAGCTCGGGCTACGCTTGAGCTATTTAGAGGAGTAGATCACTTTGGAAGTTCGGCTAGGGCTTCGTTTGGAGTTAAATGTTGGATTTTTTGGTAAATATTCTATCTTTTCTCAGTTTTGGATCTCTTCTTCAGTTTGTTTCGCATTGGTTATTGGTGTGTTGAGGAAGATGACTAGAAAAGAAGGTACTTCGGGTGTTAAGGGTGGTGCTTCTGACGTGAAGACTATTCAAAATTTGAATATCCATTCTATGAAGATAGATGTGGAGAAGTTTAATGACACGAACAATTTTAGATTATGGAGATATGAGGTTTTGGATGCGCTGAACGCGTAAAATTTGGAGATACTTTGGAATTGAATAGCAAGCCAGATGATATTGAGGAGAAGGTTTGAAAGAAGATGAACAGAATAGCGTGTTGTGTGATTAGGTCTTGTTTGACTCAAGATTTAAAGTATGATGTGATGAATAAGACTTCGGCTAAGAAGATTTAGGAGATCATTGAGAGCAAGTATATGATCAAGAGTGTGAAAAATCACTTGCATTTCAAGAAGAGGCTTTATCACTTCCAATTGTAGAAGGGAACCTCCATTGGTGATCACATGAACCACTACACGAAGGTTCTTGCGAATTTGACGAATGTGAATGTGATGATAGAGGATGAGGACAAAACTTTGTTATTGTTGAGTTCCTTGCCAGGTGAGAAATATGAGACCTTTGTTCTTATCCTAATTAATGGGAAGGCGTCCCTTTCGTATAGTGAGGTCACCATTGCACTTGTGAATTATCAACTTCGAAAGAAAGATAAGGAGTCTACAAGTGAGACAACAGCAGAGGCATTGGTCGCAAGAGGGAAGAATCCAAACCGAAAGAATAGAAAGTCACAGTCTAGAGTAAGGCATCCTACAGTTGGCAAAGATCAGTATGCTTGGTATAAAAAGAATGGTCACTGGAAGAAAGATTGTCCAAAGCTCTGTGATTGGATGAAGAATAAGCAGAAGGGAAAATGGAAGCAATCATCATCAGAAGAAAACATCATTATATCGTATGGTAATCTTTTTGACTCATCTGTTTATTCACTTTCTATCGGTCCCGCATATTGCTATTCGGAGGAATCTGAGTGGATGTTGGATAGTGGTGTGACTTATCATGTGTGCCCTAGAAGGGAATGGTTCGCTAGTTTTGAGAAGCTGGAGAGTGGTGTGGTGTACATGGGTGATAACCGTGCATGTCAGATCCTTAGGATAGGAAGAATTCGCATCAAGATGTATGACAGGACAGTTAGAGAGTTACATGGCGTGAGATATATTCCTTCTTTGAGGAAGAACTTGATCTCGATTGGAGCTTTGGTTGGAGAGGGTTTTAGAGTTCGTATCAAGGACACGATTCTCAAGATTATGGAAGAATCTCATATTTTGATGAAGGGCGTCAGGAAGAATAACCTGTACTGTTTGATTGGGAATACGGTGACAGGTGGAGAGCTGACGATTTCTATTAATTTGACTAGACTACGACATTTGAGGCTTGGTCATTCCAGTATTGATTTGGAAAAGAATGCATCGACCTACAATTTGAAGTCTAGTGAATATTTTGATGTGAGCAAGAAGACCAATGTGAAGTTTGACACCTCTATTCACCACACGAAGGGTCTTTTCGATGGAGTTCATGTGGGTATTTGGGGGCCTTCTAAGGAGGCATCATTGGGAGGTAATAGATGTTTGGTTTTCTTTGTTGGTGGCTATTCTAAGCATGCTTGGGTTGCAACCAAATCCCGATTGGATAAAGTCCTAGTAGTCTCCAACAGATTAAAAAAGTGTGAGATTGGCAGAAAGGTGAAGGTACTTTATTCTGAATTTAGTGGGAGGTACAAGAGGGACCTGTTTCTGCATTTGAGCTGAGTTCATGGTATTTTGAGACACTTCGGTGGAAAAAAAATCTTAGGACAACAAGATGAGATGGCAGATTTGGTGAGCTGTTCCTTGCTGGAGGAGGACCGGCGTTTGATGCCGAGCATTGATTCTGGTGTTGAGGCTTCGACATATTTAGGTCATCTTGGTCATAGGTTGTCGACTGCTGGTATTGAAGGTAAAACTCCATTAGATGTTTGGTCTAGTAGTGTCACTTCGATTGAGGCTTCGATGATGGAGCTAATTGACTCTCAGCAGGTGGAGTGTTTTGGACAGACCTTAGATGTATCACAGCGGGTGGAGAGTGATGCTACTCCACACTGGGTAGAGATTACTCCACATACTCAAGATCATACTGTATCTTTTGGGATTCCAGGTGAGATGACACAATTAGGGGATCATTTGGATTTGAGTGCAGATGATGATTTGGTTGATTCGAATGCACCTGGTAAATATAATTTGGATACGGCCATTGGTTCACCTCAGGTGGAGGTGTTTGATTTGTTTCACTTTGGGGCCATTTAGAGAGCTATCAGCCGCATATTTATTTGTGAAGAGTTGAGAAATTTTATATTTGATTGAGGACCTTTGGAGGTCATTTGGGGAACTACGTGAAGACTTGATTCCTTTAGCAAGAGGATACGTAGGTAGTTATTTATGATACAGCCGATTTGATCGGTAGATACCGACGTTTGGAGAATGTTCGCATTCTCATTTGGGTCTCGACTTATTGTGGATTGAGTCCGTTGTTGTGATTTCGTTTCACTTCGTACTGAACGTAGCAAGTGGGACATTTGGTTTGGTTGGTGTCGGCTCAGTTTTGGGAAGACTTCGCCGAGGTGGAGAATTGTAGAATTGGCAACACAGCGACGAAGTTTGGATTTTTTGAAGCAGAAAACATTTTGGATGCTGCACGATCGACCGCAAGTGGCGCGGTGATCGACCGGCAAAACCCTGTAGTGCTTTTTGGTTTCGGTCGTTGGATCCGGTCGATCGCGATGGGTTCGACGATCGACCTCGAGTCGGGTCTGGGCCTGATTCAGTTTCCTGCACTGTTTAGGTTTCCTATTTTATATAAATAGGAACACGATTTGTTTAGGGTTTATTGGATCATATTGATTACTTTTAGGGTAGCTTGAAGGAGAGTTTTGAGCACAGAAAAGAGAGTTCTTTTCTGAGCAAATTGTTTGAGGGTTTTGTGAGAGATTTGAGGGTTTTGTTTGAGAGGTTAGTTTGAGTGATCTTGTAATCTCTATTTTGTACTCTCTTTCTCTATAGTGAAAACCCCTCTCCTTCTTGCCCCGTGGACGTAGGTAATTTGCCAAACCATGTTAAACTTTGTGTTTGAGTTTGTGCGTACTATTGTTTGATTTGAGTTGCCTTCTCTCTCGGTGTTTGATTTGGTTCCTCGATGCACAACAAGTGGCTTCCGCTCACAACAAGTGGTATCAGAGCATAGCAAGTGGTATCAGAGAACAACAACATGATCCTTCTTCTTCCCAAAATGGCCATCTTTTGCCATTTCTTGACCATTTGTAAGAACTTCTTGGAGTTAATCATGACGGGATCGAATAGAGATTGTTAGCAACTGTTGGATTATGCAAGTTGCGGAAGATAAAATTTAAACAATTAAGAAACCCTGAATCTACCAAGCAATCAAGACAAACAACAACCAACAAGATTTAACGTGGTTCCACGCGATCAAGATGATCCGTGTACGTCCACAGGGAGAAGGGGAAAGATCTTATTTCTTTTGAGAAGAGATTATAAGAGGTTGAAACTACACACCCTTAACAATGGTGGGATATTGATCTATCCTTTTTCTTATTTTTTAAACCCATGGATTGATACAATATATATATATATATATACGGGGAGAAGGGGGAAGATCTTATTTCTTTTGAGAAGAGATTACAAGAGGTTAAAACTACACACTCCTAACAATGATAGAATATAGATCTCTTTTTTTTTTTAAAACCTATGGATTGATACAATATATATAAAGATTGTTGCTCAATCCTATTAGAACTCTAACTTGAATCCTAATTGGATTTCCCAATTCAATTAATTCCTTCAATTCAATGCTAATTAGGATAGTATAACTAATCCTAATTAGAGTCCAAACCCAATCCTGCTTCTCAACTGATTTGAGTCATCACGAACTCAATACAAACAAGGAAGAGATATGTAGGTAGCAGATTGCCAAAACTGTGTTGTGGCTTTGAGTTGAAAGGCAAAGGAGAAGTCGAGTATATATACAAAAGTGGTGATGGTAAGAGAAGATAGCCAAGTTGAGCTTCCCCCTTAATGGGATGAGTAGGAAACAATGCCATGTGCTGAACAGGAATACAAGTTATATGCGTGATTGGCTCTTGTAATGCCTAATTAGAGCCCAACCAACAAGGACTTTAATTAGGCTTGAAACCTTCATACAGTCTAATATCTATAGTGCAACCCAATTTTTTGATGATTACTAATAGAGCAGACCTTGGAATTTGCAGGATTCTGTCATCAATAGATTATACAGAATTGTGATCCTGCTCTTGATGCAGGGAACTCTAAAGATTCACCTCGATGTTCTATTGTCTCTCTTGGTTCTCTCATCTAGCGGTATGGTAAACGCACTTCCTTCAAGAGGTTATCGATGGAAATGAGAAACTGAGATATTATCCAGATGCAACCCTTTGTCAAGGATAATAAGGTCCTTTTACAATGACTGAAAACCTCAGGCGGGATGAAAAAGGAGGAAGCTGAAAGGTGAGATTATGTCTGACATTTTCAGAAGGAAAAAAAAGTTAAAAAAGAGATATTCAAAGAACTTACCACAGGACCACAGTATCTCAAAATATTACACGGAAAATGAGGAAAAAAAATAGCCCAATCTAGATAGCAAATAATTGAAAGGAGTTCTTATTGTTAATATACTGGCATCCCATAATAAGAATATTCAAGTAGCGATAAAATTCATACACTTTAAACAAGCAATCACTAGTTTCTGATCACTCAATTAAGGCATAACTTGTAGTTATCGTGGACTCTTCGCATTGTTCTAAATATTCCTGATAGATCAGCCAATATATCCTTTTATAAGCCTTGCTGCAGTATAATATGGTCCCAATATCCATTTTGGCAATTCTAGCAATATATTTCTGACATGACTGACATATCAACTGATATGTTAGCTGTTATCCTATTATATAACATTTTGAAAAACATTTTGCTTCTACAAAATTTCTTTAATGTTCTTTTAGCAAAAATTCTAGCCATATAAACTCTTTTAGCAAAATCCTAATTGACTTTTCCCCCCAAGTAAGTTTCTACAATTTGTTGGTGATCCTAAACATAGACTATTTACGTTTTCATATGCTTATATTTCACTAATGTGTTTAGATTACATTTTTAGACATTATATTATATATGCATACCATCCAGTATGACATTCTTATAGTTACTACATATCCCCAGTATTTCCCCTATATCCGTAACCCAATATGAGTTTTGGCCATATGATATTTCCCTAATATCCAATATTTCAAACCTTGACTCTTCATATAAAAAAATTACTAACATGCATAGAATCCATTGGGGGAACACCCTAGCCGACCAGATTATAAGAGTAAAATGTTATAAACTTCGCTTCATTGTATCAATTGTTGGCCTTTTTGTTTTGATGATGTTTTAACAAACAATTTACAACTAATATTGTTTATCTCGTGCTTGTATTTTCTTATTTATTTTAAGCAAACAATTAGTTAGAGGTTGGATGGAATCGAGCTTTCACGATCATATCCAATGGAGGTTGGAGGAATATCGGTATGAAACAATGCAATTCAAGTCAAGATCCTAGTTCAAGCTTTATCCGCAAGTGTACCAAGTCGAGCTTATTGAAGACCTATAGCTTGGGTAATCTAGTTTAGGCGGTCTGTTTGGCGCACTTTAGCAGGCGAATCTCTCCCTGCTATCGTGCTCCCCCGCCTGGTTTTCAATGGCGAAGAAGAAGAAATCTAGTAGCAATGGAGTCCAAAATAGAGGGCTGAGGGATTCTATCTTTCTCTATCCTTCAGCTACTTCGTCGCTGGGAGCTGGATCTTCCTCCTCCAGAGATGAGGTTGAATGCAATGAAACAGTGATTCCTCAGATGGAAATGGAGAGCACTGGACCTAAAGGAGCAAGGAAGAAGATTGATTCCTCAGATGGAAATGGAGAGCACTGGACCTAAAGGAGCAAGGAAGAAGATGTTGATGGAGGAAATCTTAGCAAAATCAAATCCATTAAAGCACTGGACCTAAAGGAGCAAGGAAGAAGATGTTGATGGAGGAAATCTTAGCAAAATCAAATCCATTAAGCGATCCTCAAACTCCCAGGCTGGACTCTGGCAAGCTGATTTCTCGTCATCTAGGTAAATCTCCAAACTCCTTTCTCTGGTCTGATGAGGTTGAAGAAGATTTAGATCCTGATCTGATTGATCATAATATCCATCATAATCGAAATGGATGTTTGAGCTCTAATGTGATTGAAAATGATTCAAATCTTAAGGTTGATTCTCCTCAAGTTGTTAGATCTGAAAATGCTGATGATTTGGTTTCAGTTGTTGTGGAGACTGGTAGTGACTCTGGAATGGAAAAACAAAAGGCTGATGCAAATTTGGAAAATAAAGTTCCTGAAAATAAAAAAACATTCGCTAGTTTATTTGCTGACAATAGGAAACATGGTAATGGATTAGAACTGAACTTTATCAAACCATCTCAAGCAAACGCTGTTTCTTTCTCTATGGATGAATGGAAGGAAGGTGAGGATTATTGGAAATTTGCACTGATAGGGCATGTCATTGGTTTGAACGTTAAATTCAAATCTATGGAAACCTATGTCAATAAAATTTGGGGGAAATTCTCTATACCTAAAGTCCTTTTAATAAAACAAGGATTATTTCTCTTTGAGTTTCAATCGGAGCATCAAATCAATGAGATTCTAGAGGCTGGGCCATGGTTCTTTGGATCAAGACCTTTTGTTTTAAAACCTTGGTCTCTTGATACTAAAATTGAGAAAATTTAAAATTATACTTATCCTATGTGGATTCAGTTGCCAAATCTAAAATTGAATTTATGGAGCTCCTCTGGTATCAGTAAGATTGCTAGCACTGTTGGTATTGCTATTACTACAGATAAGCTGACTGCCACAAGAGAAAGATTATCTTATGCTAGAGTTTTGATTGAAATTAAATTGCCTCTAAAAGAACCTCTCCCTAATCAGATTGTTGTCCAAGGACCTGATGGGAAGTGCTATAACCAAAAGATAGTGTATGAACTCAAACCAAGATGGTGTAAAAATTGTAATATAGTTGGGCATATGACTAAGCAATGTAGAAGGCAAATTTTGAAAAAAGTGTGGGTTCCTAAGCAACAGGTGACAAGTGCACTAGCTTCGGGTGAACATGCTAATAATATGCAGGAGAAGGCTAATGGTTCTGTAAAGGAGTTAAATATACATGCTCAAACTGTTAAGGAGCAAATACAAGAACCTATTACAACTCAAGATTCTGCTGGAAAAGAAAATGGAAATTCTGGAAAGAATCTGCCTCATAAACATGCACCAACAGTAACCAGCTCTGGGGAAGTCTCTGTGCATGTTTCCAGGAGTAACTATATGGGTTTGGCAAATATTACCTCCCCTACTATAAATGTCTCTGGTTTTTCAAGTGTTAATAGAGAAAATGCTGCAAAAAGGGTTAATATTGGAGACAAGGCAAACCTGGCATCTTCCTATATTCAGGCATCTCAATTCTCTTTATTGAACTGTCAAGTACATGATCTTGACCCTTCTAACTTGGATAGAGGTGGTTTATCCCAATAATGCAACTTGCCATTTGGAACATTAGAGGATTGAATAAATCCTCAAAACACATGATTGTTAAGCAATTTGTTCATGATTTCCATCTTTCTTTCATAGCTCTATTAGAAACTAAAGTTGCAGGCAATAAAATGCAATGGATTGCAGGGAGAATGGTTAAAAATTGGAGTTGGTACTCTAACTCTCAGCAAGCAAATAAGGGAAGAAGTTGGATTCTGTGGGATAATGGCATGCTCTCCATTCAATGTATATCATCTTCTGATCAATTCATATCATGTTATGTCAACTCCAAGGATGGCAAGTTATCATGCATTATTACTGTAGTTTATGCTATGAATAATCTGGAAGATAGAAAGAAGCTTTGGCATGATTTACTTTCTTTCAAGCAAAATGTTACCTGTCCCTGGATCATTGGGGGTGATTTTAATGCAATAATCAACAATGAAGAAAAGCTAGGGGGTACTCTTGTCTCTGATTATGATACTGAAGACTTCATAAATTTTATTTCTATATGTCAATTGACTTATTTGAACTACTGGTTGTTTTTTCACATGGAACAACAAACAAGGGGCTGATTCTAGAATTTGGAGTAGACTAGATAGAGTATTAATAAATGATGAATGGATCCAGTCTTACACCTCCAGTCAAGTGGATTACCTGGCTCCAAACTGCTCTGATCATTCCCCAGGTCTCATTACAATTGGAGAAGATGACTTTAAAGGTAAAAGACCATTCAAATTTTTTAGTATGTGGATAAATCATCCTGATTTTACCTCTGTTGTCAAGACTGTCTGGGAACAAGATGTCAGAGGTTTTCACATGTATAAGCTTCATACTAAGCTTAGGAAACTCAAGCAGAACCTGAAAGTTTTAAACAAGAAGCATTTTATGAATATTAGTGAGCAGGTGATAAGAGCTAAATGTGAACTCACCGATACTCAAAACCAGTTGAACAATCATCCTTTCAATCAAATGCTGATATCAAAGGAGAAGGAGTGCTTAATAAAATACACCAGACTAATTGATTGTGAAACTTCTTTCTACAAACAAAAAGCTAATATCAGATGGGATTTATATGGTGATAAATGTTCCCAATTTTTCCATTCCATTATGAAAGCTAAGAGGCACCATAATAGAGTGTTGTCATTACATACTGAGAATGGTGAAAGGATCACAGACATGGCTGATATTGCTACAGAATTCACTGAATATTACAAAAGACTTCTAGGGGTTGCTACTCATACCTCTACTCCTGACCCTGGAGTAATTTCTAGTGGACCAATTTTATCTCCAGCTCAAAGTAATTCCCTGGTTCTTCCAGTCTCTAGAAAGGAGATCAAAAATGCAGTTTTCTTTATGTCAAGTGAAAGAGCCCCAGGTCCAGATGGTTATAATGCCTCCTTTTTCAAAGCTGCTTGGGAAATCATTAGTGAAGATGTTTAACTAGATGTTGAGGAATTCTTCAAGTCTGGTAAACTTCTTGGAACTTTCAACTCTACATCTATTACATTGGTGCCAAAGATACACAATCCTAAAACACCTTCAGACTTTAGGCCAATTTCCTGCTGCAACTGTGTATATAAAATAATTTCAAAAATTATTGCTAGCAGAATTCAAGAAGTTTTGGGTTTGTTGATTGGTGAAGGGCAAAGTGCTTTTGTCAGAGGTAAAAGTATCTCTAGTAATATATTATTGGCACATGAACTTGTAAAGCATTATGTCAGAAAACAGACCTCACCTAGAGCTACTCTAAACATTGATCAAAGGAAAGCATTTGATACTATTAGCTGGAGTTTCATTGAATCTATGCTATCTGGGTTGGGGTTTCCTAATAGAATGATAATATGGATCATGGAGTGTATTACCTCTACAAAGTTTTCTCTATCCTTGAATGGAACACTTCATGGATATTTTAGGGGGGCTAGAGGCTTGAGACAAGGTGATCCCCTCTCTCCTTATCTTTTTTTTCTTGGAATGGAGTATTTGTCAAGAAGGTTAAACACTCTTAAAAATGACAGTCTATTCAAACATCATCCCAAATGCTCCAAGTTAAATATCACTCACATCTTCTTTGCTGATGATTTGCTTCTATTTGGAAAAGCTAACATATATTCTATTGCAAAGCTATATGATTGTCTTCAGGAGTTCAGTCAAGTTTCTGGGTTAGAAGTTAACCCAAACAAATGCTCTGTATATTTTAGTGGCATTGATGATAGATTAAAGCAGCAGATTTGCACTGTTTTGAATTTTCTTGAGGGGGTTTTACCAGTAAGATACTTGGGAATGCCTTTAATATCTAAAAGACTATCCTCTCTGGAATGTTCCCCTCTGATCAATAAAATCACTGATCAGTTTCAAAGATGGCAGAAGAGCAAAAATCTTTCTTATGCTGGTAGATTATAGCTGATTAAATCTGTTATCTTGGGGATTCAAATATTCTGGACAAGCATCTACATCCTACTTATGAAAATCCTAGAGAAAATTAACATTTTATGTTCCAAGTTCCTTTGGAATCATAAAATGCATCTTGTGTCATGAGAGACTATCTGTAAAGATAAAAAATAGGGAGGACTTGGTGTGTTTTCGGCAAGGAACTAGAATCTTGCAGCTGCTACTAAGCTTTTATGGCTGATACATTTAAAGAAAGATTTGTTGTGGATAAAATGGGTTCATGAAAATTACCAGAAACAGCATAATATCTGGCAAGTTTAAGTGAGGGTGAACAACTCATGGATGTGGAAACAACTTCTCAAGGTGAGAGATACTCTCATAAGTAAATTTGGGAATGTTTTATAATCTGCATAATGCAATCAACAAATGCTGTTCTGGGGGCAAAATCATTATATCCTCTATTTACAAAGAAATTGCACAGCATTCTCCTAAGGTGCACTGGTCAGACACTGTCTGGGACAGTTGGAATTTCCCCAAGCACTCTTTTATACTTTGGCTAGCTATTCATGCAAAGCTATTAACACAGGATAGGTTATGTCATTTGGGAATACTGAACACAAATGTATGTGTCTTGTGTTCAAATCAGCGCAATGAAACCTGTCAGCATCTCCTATTTGAATGTCAATATTCTGTTGAGGTGTGGAACAATATGATGAACTAGCTAGAATACAAATGGAGGTCATGTAGTTGGGAAAATAACATCGACTGGTACAGCAATAGGCTAAGGGGAAAGGGGTTCATGAAGAAATTGAAGAGGCTAGCTTTATCTGCTACAGTGTATGCGATTAGGATTGAGAGGAATCAACGGATCTTCCAGCAAAAGTCTAGAGCTCCTGCAGTTCTATTTCGCAATATCAAGATCTCTATACTTTCAAAAATCTTGAATGACAAAATCCCTGTATACATAAAAGAGAAAATTGAGAGATTGTAATTTTCTTACTAGTTGATTCCTAGACTATGGTCTGGATGTTTTGATGTACATAATTTTTTTCATATTTGGGTAATGAATAAAATTGAATTCATTGACCAAAAAAAAATAGTTTAGGAGTTCATATTATGTGTGTTAGATACTTTTTGGTTTTATAGGTTTCAAGTTTTGGTTTATGTCAAAACATCAAATTTCATATTATGTATATATAGTTATATATATACATACATGTTTTGGTTTTATAGGTTTCAAGTTTAAATATGAAACAATTGAATATAATTGGAAAATACATTTTTGTTTCATGTTTATATGTGTTTGGTATGAATTCATGTTCATTGGTTTTGAAAGAATGAATAAAATAATTTTGAGAAAATATTGTATTTCTTGTTTATAGACATAACAACAACAATTTATATCTTTTATCAATTCTATAAAATTATTTTATAAAGTTTCAAAACTTGGTTTATGTCAAAACATCAAATTTCATGTATATCATATTTTCATGTTTTGGACATTTTTGTAAAATGATGATATTTTACAAATGGGAAGTGATATTTGAAAAATTATTTTTGTAATTCATGTTCATTTATATGTTTATAATCATTTTCCAAAGTTTTACATTTTTTTTGGAATTTGTTTACTATTTTTAAATCAAGTTTAAAAATCAGATTTTTTAGTTTTCAGCCTGAGTATCAGAAATATCAGTTCACGGTCGACCACGTGTATCGCTGTGGTCGATCGGAATTGTCCAGAGACTTTGCTCTATTGTTCAGCCTTTTGCAGTTGATCGGCCGATCGGCCATGGCGCTGTGGTCGACCGCCTATGTTACCGTTGTAAAGTAACGGCTAGTTTTTTGTTTTTCGGCCGATCGGCCATGGCGCTGTGGTCGACCGCCTATGTTACCGTTGTAAAGTAACGGCTAGTTTCTAGTTTTGTTTTTAGTGGGATTTTGGGGTTTTCTTGGGTTGTTTTCTTCTACCTTTTATATACCCCATTGCATTTATCATTCCCCCCTAACTAAGAGAGTTTCTAAACAGGTTTTAAAGTATGGTTTAAGTGTGTTTAAGTGTTTGTTTACAAAATTAGTTTTGTGAAGATTGTTTCACAAGAAGAGGAGATCAACTTGGGTTTGAGCTTTTAATTTCACATCTCCATCTCTCTTGTATTAGAGAAGTTTTCCTTAAACTCAATCTCTAGCTAATTATTGTTTTGATTATAACTCCATAAGCTATATTTTACATTGAATTTATATTTGTTTTTATTTATACTCTTTGTTTACACACACAACCATTGAGCTTATTGTATTTTCATACATAGTATAATTGGGGTTGTGAGATTGTGACTTAGAGAGTGAGCTTACACTTAGTTCTCATCCTTATATTAGAGAACAAAATTTGTATTTGAGCCTTCATTGTGAGGATACACTTTATAATACACTTGTACACCGAGAGGAGTGTGTGATGAGAGACGTGGTCGTCCCAAGAGGAATAGCGTCGGTAGTAAAGCCTAGGGAGAGGTTATAAATCTGAGCTCTTTAGGGAGACACGGGCTAGAGACCAACACTTAGAGGGTGTAGAGTGGGATTATAAGAGTGTTGATTGTAAAGTTTTCGATAAGGTAGAAAACCAAGTGTGAGGTATATACGTTATTCGGGTGAGCGTTGAAAACCTGGTTGTGTAGTGGATTTCTCCCCAGGAGTGGGAAGCGGAGATGTAGGATAAAAGGTCCGAACTCCGTGATCATTTGCTTGCGTTTGAGTTTTCTTTGGCGTTTTATTTGTGCTTAGTGTTCATTACATTCTTGTCATTATTATAAATTACTCTTTGTTTATATTGTCCACTATCTTATTTATATTGCTTTGTGTTTATATCACTCTTAGTTTCATATCCTTGCATATTAAGTGTTGCATATCTAATTTGATAGGATATTTGTTAATAAGTTTTATTAAGTGTTGCATATCTAATTTGATAGGATATTTGTTAATAAGTTTTTAATTGGTATTAAATCGGATTAGATTAGCATAAACCCTATTCACCCAGGATATTTGTTAATAAGTTTTTAATTGGTATTAAATCGGATTAGATTAGCATAAACCCTATTCACCCCCTCTAGGATTCTTTCCTAGTGGCATTAGGGTCTAACATCAACTACTGTTATTAACTAAAGGAGAACAATGGAATTAATAAAATAAACAGTAACCAGCTGTATGTTTTATAAAAATGAACAATAACCTCTTCTACAACTGATTTTCCTTCTCCTCTACACCCACATCCAAAAATAACCACCTGCCCACGTTTTCCTTCACCTGTCCCCGTTTTCCTTCTCCTCTACACCCACTTCCAAAAAAAAGTTGTTTTTCCTTCTCCTCTACACCCACAACCAACCTGTATGCTGTTTTTCCTTATCCTCTACACCAAAATTATTCTTTTGAAATTGTTTCCGAGAAAGAGAATAATGTGAAGGTAAGATTTCTCATTTCTTTAATTTCATTTATTTATTTCATTTATAGGTGTTAGCTTATGAACTTTATTTGTGTTTTCGGAGTTTCAATTAACTTAGATGTCAATTAACTCAATAAAAATTGGAGATATGTGTTAGCTTATGAAGTTTATTTGCGTTTTGGGAGTTTCAACTAACTTAGGTGTATTAGGATTCAAAAAATCAGGGAAGCATCTTTGCTCTATTATTATAAACTCTTTCAAACCTGACAACCCAAACCCACTTCCCCCCACTTCCCCTCCACTTCCGGCTCGCCGGAAAACCGCAAACCCCAACTCAACGGAACTCACACTGACGTACTGCTCCAGTGGGGCCACAACAAGAGGTCATGGGGCTCGAGAGCGGCCTAGAGCCATCGGAGGGCTGTTGATGAGTCTTCGGTCCATCCGAGGCCGCATGTCAAGATCTAACGACGGGCGGCGCTCGCCGGAGCCGAGAGGATGTCCGCGACGTCTGACGTGTCATCGATGCCCCCGTCAAGGGTAGCGGGCCGGAGGGGATGCTTGCCATTGAGGGATTCTACGAGCGTTAATCATAGCAGGTAAAGCTTTAATTTTTGTTTTAATTATGAATATTGTTTTTAATTTACGTAAGTTAATGCTGTTAATTATGAGGATTGACTTTTATTCTTATCTGTAATTTGGGTTAATTAAGAAATATTTTCTTTTTTGTTATGTTGCGCTCTATTGGGTGTTTCTTCTTTTTAACATTATTATTATTACTATTTTTGTTATTGTTATCTTGCTATGAAGAATCTTTGTATGGGGAGGAAAAGGGGAAACTTTGCCTTTTATTTAGTCAAATTTTAATTAAATTTGCAATAATTGGGTTCGTTGTCTGATTTGTTTAATTTGTGTTATTAATGCTGTTAATTATTATGAGGATTGACTTAGATTCTTAATCTGTATTGACTGTGTTCCTACCTTCGATTCAGCTCTCTCTCCCCTCTGTCTTATCTAGAAAATTGAAAATTAGGGAGGAAAATCTATAGATTTATAACCGATCTTAAAATTTATCTATATTCTTATATTTAATTCCTAATATAACCTTATTCATATCTTAGAAGTTATAGTTATTTACCAAAATAGGTGTGGAAGAGGTACTAGATCACGTATCCTGTAACATAGGAATGTGAGAGCGAAAACCCGGGTCAAAATTACAGAGGATGTCATTGCAAAATTACAGAGGATGTCATTGGTACTCCAAAGGAGCACTGAAGCTGTTGGCTTAATTTATAAGCCAAACACTGAAAATTATTTGTTTTGTACTAAATGAATTATTGAATCAAACTTGATTGAATATCTGAACGAATAAAAAAAGCAAGTAGCACCCCTATACTTCATATCTAAAGTAGAATATTTTATTTTGGTAATATGTTCAATATTTACAGAATTTTTTTTAGAAACCGTGCTTTGCACGGGTCTAAATACTAGTCAATTAATATTCATCAACAAGTGCCAACTAGGTAAAAAATAAACTAATCTGCACATTGGAAAAAAAAAGTACCAATGAAAGCACGAAAAG